AGGAAACTGTTCATGTGATAGTTCCGTAATAACAAACTAATAAAATCTAATCGGCCAAGGAAGTGGCCTTAATAACACAAAAAATCCTAACTTCATTCTACAAATTTCTTCTTCTAAACTCTCCTTCTCTTCTTCTAATTTATCAATTCTCTTATTCAACTCCTTCTCCTTACCTCCTCTAAATACAATTATATTATTATAATATTTATATATCTGATTATATTTATCTTCTTTTTTTTCCAACTTTTCCTTATACTCAACCATTTTCTTAAAAACATTTTCAATGTCATACTTAGTCAAAAACTCTCTATAATTTTCTAATTCTTTGTTCATACTTTCTTGAAACTTCTTAAATTTTTTCTCCAATTTACTATTATCTTCTTGTAACATCTTTATCTCTTCTTCATAAAACTTCTTACTTCCTTTTAACTTCATATCAACATATTCTAACTATCTTTCTTTCTTCTCAAATTCTTTTCTATACTCCTCCATTATTATGAAAACTTCTTCTACTTCTTTTTCTTCTACAACTTCTTTATATCTCAACTTTTTTTTATCTGCCTCTTTTCACATCTTTTTATAATCTTTTACCTCATCTAACAAAACTTTTTTCTTCTTTCCTTTTCTAAATCTTTTTTCTTCAACTTTCTACTTTTCTCTTTTCTCTAAATCTCTTATTCTCTGTTTTAATTCTGAAATCTCTTTCTCCCTTTCTCTAAACATTCTCTCCACTAACATACTCTCTTCTTTCTCCTTTCTTTCTTTCTGAATCCTATATATTTATATTTTTATTTTTAGTATATTTTATCTTTATTTTATTTTTATATTCTTATTTTATTTTTATACTTTTTATATTTCTATTTGGTAATCTTTCTCTCCTATATTAATAGCTATATTTTCTTTTTTTTATTTTTTGAAGTTTACGACTTTAATTTTTGAATTTAATTAAAAGTTGATGTATATTAAATTTCTCTTTAAATTAGAAAACTTTAATTTCAAATACGTGTGAATCTTTATTCTAATTAGTTAATCATTACCAAATTTGAACATTTTTAAGGAGTGCATGCAAAAATTTTAATATCTGCTTGCTTTAGTAAAGTAGTTTGGATTTGTAACTATGAGGCTAGTAGTCATAGGTTTATTATCTGCTAGTTAACAGTTAATCTACTAATGAGTTATGGTAGCGGACTAGCACTAAGTAGAATTTCTTTTTACTTAGTTGCTTAAACTATTTTAGATATAGAACTAAAAAAATTTGATATAATAAACAATATTTTATATCATATTATAATATTAATTATTATTTTTGTGGAACTCAAAAATAAGCTGAGGAAAATGTTAACCTATAAAATATTAAGAAAAAACACAAATTTTTTCATAACTTTCAATCTATCAGTCCGAATTGAATGAAATATATACTATTGGAATCAGCTTACTAAGACGGATCTAATGAGCCAATAATCATTAAAATTTAATTACTAGATCCCGAGATAATTAAGTTTTGGCTTTTTTATAATAATCGTGCAATCTGATTAGCTGATGATTACTGCGAGAGATTTGTTACATGTGTCATATTTATTATCTATGGTTTTTGAAACACTTATATTATTTATTATATATGTATCACATATCATATTTATTATATATTTCATACATGTATTAGTTATATTGTATATTTTATTAGTGATAGTTATAGCATATATAGCTCATGTAATATATGTAGCTTGTTACATTTTTAATATTTTGTAAAGTATAAAAACAGTATATGTGGACCTTGATTTTATTATCAAGTATTCACACTCTTTCATAATAAAAGTAACTTTCTAATACTTTGAAATAAATATTTATTGATACTTCATATATCTTTAATTGTTGCCTCTTTCATAATTACAAATTACCTTAAATCTTCTTTGTTAAGTTTTACAAAAACACTCTAAAGACTTTGACAAAATACAGTAACAAGGAATATTACACAAAGTATTCACTATTATTAGTCTCTCTAGTTAGTTGTTCTCTCTAAAGAAGTAGAAGCAACATAATAATATATAAATTCTATTAATTAACTAAAATTATAATAAAATATTATTACTTCATTTAGAGTACAAATAATAACTTATTTTAATATATAAATTTATATCTTTTTTAATAGAATCTAAAAGTACAAATTGATAAAAACTTTATAAAATATATATATATAAATTAAAAAATATATACATTTGATTTTTTAAACTTATAATAAAAACTACAAGTAGTACATTATAAAATTAAATAAAATTTTGAATTTGAATTAAATATTGAAAAATATTTAATCAAATTTTTACAAATTTAATCAGATATTTGATCTAAATTCAAATTTTAATTTTATAAAATACTAGCTATAAGTGTTTATAACCTCATAATATCATATAACTCAATAGTTTTTAGAAGTATAAAAGGTTAAATTAATATTTATAAAATAAAATTTAAATTTTTTAAATAAAAATATTATAAAATTAAAAACAATTTTTAATTAATAGTATTAAGCTTTTGAATAATAAGTTTTAATACTAGTATAAGTAATAGTAATACATATTTATAAACTGAAATAAATATTATAATATCATATTTTAAATAGTCTAGTTTTTGCTAAAACAGTAACAAAATTTTTAAAAATAAATTTTTTTTTTTTTTTAAAATTCAGCAATCATGCTAGTACTTTTATTTAATCAAGTCCTAATCTACGATTACAACTAAACTATCTAGTATATTCTACTATCTAGTGACTATTCCTAAGTACTAACTCACTCAGTTGCCACTTTGGTACCTAAGTGCGATCTGCCATAGTGACCATTGACCTCAGTACTTCTAGTCTCATTAAATGAGCACCTACAAATACTTCGAAGGAATGATGCCACAGCCCATCATGTTTGCATATTATGCCCATAAATTTTTAAAACCCTCCCTAATTTCCTTTAACATACTATCCTTTGCTAGTTTAAATTCCAACCCTAATATTCTTCTATCCTCCTTATATCCTACTTCATCACTCGAACCTGCGGTAGCAGCATCTATAATGTTCATTTTTCTACCTATTTCCCTTTTGTTTCTTTTTTTGGAAGAGTTTGCATTTTTTAACTTGTTTTTTTGCGATATTCCTGTACTCTTCCCTCAAATATTCATTTCATTGAAAAAAATAAATTTTTTTTAGTATTGAATTTTTGTTTAAATATTTAATAATTTATATTTTAATAAAATTTAAATATTAATATTGTTTTAAAAAGATTTTATTAAATAATAATTTAAAATATAGTAGTTTTTACTATATTTTTAGTTAGAAAATAAATTTGTCTTATTTATAATAAATGCTAAGTTAATATATTTTAATATTAAATATATTATAAGTAATATTTATAAAGGTTTATATAATTTAACACCTATATGTTGTAATGCCAACTAATCAGATTGCAAGATCAGGTATAACATGAAATCAAAATAATAGTGATTTTTTAAAGAAATCACTTGTAACTCAATTTTTCATTTATGAAACTTTTTTTCGTGTTCTAATTAAAAAAATTCCTTACAAAATTTTGGAATAGAAATTTTTTTCTATTACCCTTCTCTAACCCTAATGCAGTCTTAGCCCTAACTCTAACCTAATGCACAAAAGGAGTTTGTTTTAATTTCATGTTATACCTGATCTTGAATTTTGATAGGTAGATGCATTATAATACATATGCACTAAATGATAAAAATCTTTTATAAATTATATTTTTAAATTAAAAAATTTCTAAAAGAAATTAAAAAATTTGAAGTTTAAATATTTGATTAAATCAAATTTATTCAAATATTTGATTCAAATTCAAATTTTGATTTAATTTTGAAGAATACTATATCTAACTACTATACTAAAATTACTAGATCTTTTATATGTTTTTAAAATAAAAATTTGTATTAAATCATTTGTAAAATTTTATATAATATTATTATAAAAAAAATTTTTTTAATTATAAAACTATAATTATATGCAAAATTTTATTCTAAACAACTTTATCTAAAAGACAAAAATAGGTTATCTTAGTAAAAAAAAATAAGTTTACTATATAATAAATATAAAATTTTTAGGTTTTCTATATAAAACTTTTTTTTACTAAGACAATCTATTTTTGTCTTTTAAGTAAACTTGTTCAGAATAAAATTTTAAATTATTTTAGTTAAAAAAATTTTATTATTAAAAAAAGTGTGACAAATTATATAACTAATAATAGACTATTAATTCTAAATCAATCTTTTTTTTATAATAGATTGTCAATTCTAAATTAAAGAATTACAATAGTTAAATTATGTATATATCTGAAGTGTACTTACTAAAAATATCCTTATAATAAACTTTTTATAGTATCTAGTACTGTATTTATTACTTCTCTATTTCTGGTTTTTGTGCAATTACATTGTATAGCTACTTATTTTATCCTTTAAACAGTACAAAATTGCAAGTAAATTTGCTTACAATTTTTTCTTTTACTATTATATATAAAATTTTTATAAAATTTTAAGTTTTGTATAATAAAATTTTTATCAAAAATAACTAATTAACTTTGCAGATTGCTCAAACTTTTACTTTCATACTGTAATATAAGAGTTATATAATATATATATTTGAAATTGAACTATTTTTAATAATGTACTGATTTTTTAAAAATTTTTATTTATTTTTAATTTTTCATTATGATTTGACTATAACTATAAGATGTCTTAGCAAGAAATATAAAATTCATATTAAAAAATAATTATTATTATTTATTTACAATTTTGTAACACAATCTTTATTTAATATAAGAGTAGACAAGCATATAATAATTTATTAATTTATTTATCGATTTATTTAATTAATTATGATACTTATTTATTTTATTTATTTATTTAAGTTTAACCTTTAATAAAATATAAAAAAAAAGAAAAATATCAAAATATTTTAATTTTTAATTTTTTTTTTTTTTGGATATAAAAGTTCTTAAAACAATCACTTCTACCTTTGTTACAATATAAAGATATATCGTATTTTATATAATAAACTTGTGATTGTAGTAGATTCTTAGATGTTTTTTTATTACTTTTTTGGCCAAATACCTGCACTATACACAGCTATTCCTAGTATCTCTCTATTCAGATAAATATCTATCTAAAGCTAATCTTAATAAAGAAAGTTTAAAATTACTAGTTATATACTGTTTTTTTGAGAGATTTGTATCAAGATTTTGAAATTATGTTAATTCGTCAACTCTGCTTTGTGTATTTGGTTTTTTTGTCTGATTATTTTCTTCTATACTTGCATTAATCAAATCCTATACTAGCTGAACTCAAAAATCTTTATGACTAATATTTTTACTACTTTTTTTAAAAATTATATAGAAATTGATAATAGAAATATCTAATAACCAAAAAAGTAAAGATATTTAAGTTCTTCTTACTAGTAATTAAATACCATAATACTCACAAAGCTGATTAGCTATATCTACTCCACTCATGTTGTAGTTGTAATTATCAATTATAGAAGAAATTGCTAAAGCTTTTTTATTAGAAGTTTCAAAAACTATATGTACTTTTGCTATGTTAGTACTTGTTTCTCAAAGTCAACATTAAATTCTTTCAATTCTGCTTTTATTTTCTGTAATTTCATGAATAGTAGTTAGCATAGTTACTGACTCATTGTCTATTTATAAAATATAAAACTTCATCAACTACTACTTCAGATAATATATTCTAATCTAGTTTTTTATCTACTTTAGATATTTTTAAAAAATTTGTTCTATTTGTTCGTACTGTTCTGCATGCTTCAAAATTATTATTATAGAAATATTAAAAAAGGTTAATAGATAAAAAAAATTATTTATATATATATTGAAAGATTTATTTGGAGGTAATTGAGAAACAAGATAGTAAACATTATTTCCTGCTTTATTTAAATTTGGAATTTGGTTTACTTCTAGATTATTTTGAATTCATAAAGTAAAAATAAATGTATATGTATAGCCTGCATCACAAAGAGAAAGAATTTTGTAGCCTTCTGGTATAGGCTTATTTCTAATTCTAACTATATATACACTTCAATCTAAAAATCTCACAATCATTTTGTTAACTGATACATTAGATGATAGAATACAAATCATTTTTGAAATTGTTTGAACATGACTTGCTAAAGGGTCTAATTTAGAATACCAAGATAATTGTAAAATAGTATAGTCTGAAATATGCATAAAACATTTAATCTAAATTAAAAAAAAAAATAAATAAATAAATAATTTAAAACAACTTAAATAAATCTAAAATAGTAAAACATTTATTTAAAAAAAATGTACTTGTTCAAAACAAAGTGATATCATAAAAGTTGTTATTTTATATTTCAGAAATTGACTATTCTTATTCCAATAATCTCTAATACTAGGTAATTTAAAAATACCAGCATATATCAAGATTGCCAACTAAATTTTAAATTCTCCCACTGTTATTCTTCCCATTTACATCCTTCCCCTGCATCTTTTAAATAAGCGTACTTATTAGTATTCTGAACTATGATATTTATTTGTTCAAGCGAAATAAAAATACTAAAAATGAATATGGTGATGATAAAGAATAATCATATCTAGTAGGTAAGTTTAATGTAAAATCATGCATAGGCTTTAAATGTTGAAATGTGTTAAAAGAAGGAGGAGAAGGAAGTTGTACAGCCTCAGTTTCATAATTTTGACTATGACTATGACCATGGCCACGACCATAACCATGACCACGACCATGACCATGACCACGACCACTACCATAATCACCATCATGATGATCACGACCACGATTATTGACCATAATTCTGTTATCTTGAATATCTTCATCTTGAACATCGGAATCTTCATTATTTTCGGATTCACTTGGTTCATAACTTCATGGATGCTACGTGACAATTCTACAATATATGTGTTATCATCGTCTTGCTCTGTAAGAATTGAGGTTTCCATCGCAAAAAAAAAAAAAAAATTTTAATAAAAAAAAAAAAAAAAGAATTTTAGTAAAAAAAAAAAAAATTCAAAAACAGCGTATGTGAGAAAATTTTTAAAAATTCTTGTTTCGCACCTTTTGAAACAATGGTAACTGCTTAAAATTGATCAAATATGTTAATCGAACGTTAATCAATGTCTATTTAATACGGAAAGGTGATTTGGCAATTTTTGTAAAAGAATATAAGATGATCTATATCCGAATTTGGAAATTGCAGGCAAATTTGCCTGCAAAACCGTTTAAGGGATAATAGATTGTCAATTCTAAATCAAAGAATTACAATAATAGACTGTCAATTCTAAATCAATCCTTTTTCTATAATATATTGTCAATTCTAAATCAAAGAATTACAATCCTTTTTCTATAATAGACTGTCAATTCTAAATCAATCCTTTTTCTATAATAGATTGTCAATTCTAAATCAAAGAATTACAATGGTTCTATCATGTGCATATCTGAAGTGCGCTTACTAAAAATACTCTTATAATGATCTTTTTATAGTATCTAGCACTGTATTTACCTCCACGTTCCTGGTTTTGCGCAACTGCGTTGCGCAGCTACTTATTTAATTATGCTTAAATAGTTTTGCACAATCGCACAGTCGGATGACAATTTGGTGATTTTAATATGAAACATGATCAGTAAAACTTGATTAAAAATACATCAATTTGCAAACCGCGATAAAAATATGTAATCGTTTATGGAAACGATTATAACAAAAATGAGAATCGATTACAGTAACGATAAACCGATTATCATAGATTCAATTCTCATTCCTATTTCGGTGTCAACTATATAAAAGAGCGATAAGATATCTTTTATGTATTTTCAAGTTACTGTCAATTTAATAAAGAAAAATCACGACTTCAAAATGAATTTTAAACTCTTGTTAACCTTAGCCGTCCTCGCAGTTATTTTCTCTTCAACTGTTTCAAGCTCGCTAGTCCTTAAGAGTAATAATTCATTTCTTGTATAACTGTTTAGTCATTATAGAAACAAATTATTGTGATAATTTTATTAATCTCATTATTCTATATCCAGATAAAGGCGAAGGTATGATTAACTTGCAATTTTATAATAATTTATGATTAAATAAAACTTCTCTAATCAAATATTTTTAGTCTGTGAGTATAAATTTATATTTTTAAATAGAAATTAAATAAATTTCTCTAATTAATTATGCTTGAATGGTAAATTATTAGTGATGTGAGTAGGAAGTTAATTAATCTAAAAATTAAAATGTTAATTGAAGCTTCTAATCAATTCAAATTTTGAAAATTTTTTAATCTACAATTAAATGAAACGTCTCAACCAATTATATATTAATTAGGAGGTGAGTACAGGATTAATTTGTAAATTAAAATTTTACAACCTGTAATTAAGTATTTTCTAAATGAATTAAATCCATTAATTAGGAGGTGAGTACAGAATTAATTTGTAAATTAAAATTTTACAACCTGTAATTAAGTATTTTCTAAATGAATTAAATCCATTAGGGAGTGAGTAAAGAATTATTTTGTAAATTGAAATTTTTATAACTTATAATTCAATAAAACTTATTAATCGATTGCATGAATTAATCATCAGGTGAGTACAGAATTAATTTGTAAATTGAAATTTTACAACCTCAATTTTATACTATCTAAAGTTAAATTTCACTCTACAAACTCTCTTCATAATCAAGCAGATCTACTTGCCAAACAAGGAACCTCTAAACCTATCATTAAACTCTCTCTCCTTCTTTTAAACCTTTCTACTCATTTTCTTTAAAATAACTATCTCATACCATTTAAAATTTGCTCTTTTATCAAGTCTACAATTACAATTCGTGAATTCTCATCTTGGACCTCACTAAAATTCTTTCAAAATACTATAGAAATCAAATGGGCTTTAATGTTTAAAATACTAAACTCCCTTGAACACAACTCACAAATATATACATTCTGTATTAAAATTCTAACAAATAATTTACCTACAATGCAAAACCTAAATATTCGCTATCCCTACCTATACACAACTTCTAATTGTACACAATACTTAACTACTGAAGATACAATACACATTCTCCTCTGTTCTAAAAACTTCTCAAATATTCAATAATCACTAATTAATACAATTAATAATAGTTCAACATCACTTAAAATATCAACAATCTCTGCTTATACACTTCTTAATATCCTCTTACACTTTACATTAAACTCTTAAAATCCTCAATACCACTATATACTGTCATCTATAATTGGCACTTTTCCACTTATAATATATACTAATATTAAAAATATTACTTAAAAACAAACAGATCTTCTCCTCACAAATCTCTCTAACAACTTACTTACTTGGTTCTACAATAATATCTGGATTCAATGAAACTACTATTAACACCAATGAGAACTTGCTTGGAATATTACTAAAAAAACTAAACACACAAAAATTACTTATTCAATACTATCTAATAGACCAAACTCTAATACAAATTCTATTTCAATAACAAACTACTGATCTGAAATTGAAAAATAGTTCCTCTAAGGCTTTTCACTAACAACTTGTACTTTATAATGTCAAGACTAATACCTCAAGTTCTCCCCAACCTATCCTAGCTAAAAACTAATTTGAAATAATTAAATATAGTATAAATTAGGAAATAGGGGGTGCAATATCACATTGAATGCCTTAAAAATATGTAACACAAATGTAGCTAGAAATCTTTAAAATTTTAAACATATGTTTTAATCTTATAAATAAAGTTTCTACTATGGCATTATAAAAAAA